AAAAAAAATCTGTAGCCTAATATGAGTATGACTTTAATGTCCTCTCTTGCCTTCAGCTTCTTGCCTTCAAAGCTGCCTGAGAGATTTCAAGATGCCATTGTTGGTTGTTATGGTGTACCTCAGGATTTAATTTAATTTTCAGCCTGTTTTGTTTTTAAACTCTCTTTCCCACTCTACAGCCCTGTCCTGGTCCTTCCCATATTTAAAAAGAAAAAAGAAAAAAAAAAAATTCAAGGCCAGCTCTTGGGCTGAGTGTATCTGTGCAAGCATGCGTGACAGAAGAACCCACCAGTGGTGAGGGTGGGGGGGTGTCCATTCGCTCAGGCACCTCCCCTCCTCTAGTCACCAGAATGGAGGCAAGCAAACAGTGGGGGTGGGGGGACAATAAACAGATACAAAGGAAAGAAAAGAAAATCAGAACTACAACAAAAAAACTGACAAAGTGTATTGTCTCCCTTTTCTCTGAGGTTCCTGTGTCCTTTTTCTGTGGTGTGTCTGCTCCCCGACTTGGTCTTGATGTTTGGTCTTGCCCAAGTTGTCTGCTCCAGTCTGTTGAGCCCAGCAGATTCAAAAATACGCAATTTCTTACTTTTGCTACAAGTTCCACTAGCTATAAGCCTTTGAACCTTTTAAATATTCCTATCTCTGTGGTTCTGAGTTTTGGAGCTCTGTCCTGGATCTGTTTTGCCTGGTATTCTGTGGTTTTTCTGATGGTGAATTTCACTGTACCTCCACCCTAGCCACCTGGATACATTTTATAATCATTTTTCTGAATTCCTTCTCAGACATTTCCAAATCCTGCCCATCTCCCAGTATGGAGTGTAGGTTTACTTCCAGCTCATTTGCCTCAGTCACTTTATCTTGTTTCTGGACATGTGCTAATATGGTCATCTGCTTCTGTTTGGGGGGCATATTCAGGAATTATCTGTGGCCTTAATACTTAGATGGGTGTATATTTTGATATTTTTTTATGCTTTTTGATTGCCTCTAGGCAGATGTGATCAGGAGATGGCCTTCCCTTTTCACCCTTCTTCCTGAGAAATTTCAAGATGCCACTGTTGATCATTGTGAAGTAACTCAGGATTTAATTTTCTTCCTATTTCCTTTTTAGTCTGCCTGTCCTGCTCCACAATCCCTGTTCAGGCCTTTTTTCTAGTGATAAACAGTTCAGGGTCGGCTATGGCCATTTGATTTTAAGTGGAAACTGTCTCTTTACATTTTGAGGAGATCTGTGCACATGCATAGTAGAACCCTCTGGTGGTGGGGGTGGTGTATCTACTCGCTCAGGCACCCCCTCTAGTCACAAGAATGGAAGTGCGCAGATAGCAAGAGACCAATGAACAGATACCAAAAAAAAAAAGAATGTCCACACCTTTATCTCTGTGGTTCTGTCAGGTGTCCGTGGCTGCTCTGATCCTTCTCCCCGCTTGGTCTCTCCCAAGATGGCAGCTCCAGGAGCAGCTGAGCATCTTGAATTAGAAAGCAATGGATTTCTTGCTTCTGCTACAAATTCCCCTTGCTGTAAGCCTTCCAACCTTCTAAATATTCCTTCATATGTGGTTCATAGTTCTGGCACAATCCCCTGAGCCTGCTTGGTGTGGTATTCTGTGTTGTTGCTGACGGAGCACCTCACTGCACTTCTACCCAATCCACCATCTTATTTGTTCTCTCCTTTCTTGCTATTTTTATTTGCCTAGCATAACTTTTTCCATTTCTTTATTTTTAGCTATTTTAAATGATTTTGCTTCTGGTATGTCTCTTTCATGCAATATCTAATTGAGTTTTCCTTTATGAATTAATTTGAAAATTTTTTTATTTTGACTTTCATTTAATTTATTGAAGTGATTCATGTGTTTAGTCTCAATGATTTCATATTATTATATAGTAATACTGTGCTTTTTTTCCTTATGGTGGTGGTGGTGGTGTGCTATGGAGTCAGTTCCAACCCATAGCAACCCTGTACAGGGTTTCCCAGGCTGTAAATCTTTACAGGAGTAGAAAGTTTTATCTTTCTCCCACACGACAGCTGGTAGTTTCGAACTGCTGACCTTGAGGATAGCAGCCCAATTTGTAACCACTATGCTACCAGAGCTCCTTTTCTTTCTCTACACGATATGAGTTTTTTGTTGTTGCTGTCTTTTCAATATAATATCTTTTGGTATTTAAAAAGATTCCTATTTTTGTTCTGTGGCTATCATAATATTTAATTCTTTTGTGGAATCCTTAATCCCTCTTTTTCTTATTTAACATGTTGCTGTTATGTCAGTTTTAAATTGTGTCCTTTGATTCCCACTTGTTACCTATATAATGATCAGTGATTTTATTCTACTTTTCTCTTTATTTCCTCTTTCTCTTCCTATTATTAGTTGCATTATTTTTACTTTTAATATTTATGTGTCACTCTTCCACCCAGACTCCTATTCTTAGATCTAGAATGAAATCTGCTGAATTCCCACCTCAGTACTTTTAATGAAGTTTTCCTAATAATCATTTGATTAGATGAAGCTTATTCTCTGCATATTCCCTAAGAAGGTCTCATGAACGCAAATCTTGCAAGTTTAAAAATGTGTTTATTAGTGCTGATACTTGAAGGCTAGTTTGGCTGGTTATAACTTTTTTTAACTCACATATTCTTTCCTTGAGTTTCTTGAAAATTTATCTACTTTTTCCTTGATTTCCTTATTGTTCTTAAGAATTATAATGTTAGACTAATTTGTTTACCCTCAAAACTATTTTGATCTTTTTGCCTGACATCTCTGAGGATTTTTTTCCCTCTATCTGTAATATCTAGTACTTTTACTAAAATGTATGCTGAATTGGTCATTCTGTTTCCATTTTTGGAAAGAGTGGGCCCTTTCTATATATATATATTTATTTAAATACTTTATTTCCAGAAAGTTTTCTTTGATTATGATTTTACATTTTAGCTCTGATTCATATTTTATTCTGTGTTTTATTTCAGGCCCTTCAATTATGCAAGTGGAATTTCTTTGCCTGTCATCTGTTTCACCCTATTTCATTTGATAACTTTTCAATGAAAATAATGTGTTTAGACTGACAAAGAAAAGAATGACTAGTCACTTGCACCTTAATTTGAAATCATCTTCATTATATTGCCTACCAAGTGATATACAAGAGTCCTGTAGGATAAGCAATGAACGGCTAACAAGGTTAGCAGTTCAAACCTACCAACCACTCCTCAGATGGCACTTTACAACTACAAAACAAGTGACATACAAAGAAGTCCTCACCTCACAGTGGCTAAGAGCTGGGCTGATACCTAAAAGGTTTGTGTTTAGAAACTACCAGCTGCTCTTCAGAAGAAAGATGTTACAGTCTGCTCCCATAAAGATTATAGTCTTAGAAATCCTGTGAGGCAGTTCTATGAGTCAGAAACAATTCAATGGCAATGGAGTTAGTGATATAAACTTTTTTATTTACTGTGTTTACCTTTGGAACTTTGATCAGGTGGTGTCCATTTGACAGAAAAATAAATAACTGTAAAACTGAAATTGATTTAAATATAGTTTACCCACTCTGACCTCAGGAAAAAAGGCAAAGTCATGGGCCATGGTTCTTAATTTATTTGACTTTGATGGACTTTTTTTGTCATTTTAATAATGAGGAACTATTATTCTACCCCAGAAAAGATAGTCCAGGACAGAAAGAAATCCCTCCAGGATGACAGGACACAGAATACTCAGAAGAGGACATACCAGGATTTTCTGGATATTGTCCTTTCTGTCCAGGTAAATCTTCCCAATGTCTGAGTTTATTCAAATAGTTAATTAATTATCTGGGTGGGTAGATGAATAGGGATGTGGTAAGGAGATGCAGCAAAGTAATCAACTAAATTTAACATGATTTCAGTTGATGAGTTGGCACCGTGTGATTTTGAGCAAAGACAGAAAACTATGCATCTTTGTCACTAGAGGGAGTCAGATAAGACTAAATTTTTATTAATTTGTCAGGGATTGGAAATATCATGATATAGGAAACAGATTGACAGTATAAACTAGTAAAATGATAAGAATGAGACTGAAAAATCTGGATAAATCTGAGTGGCTGGAGAAATTTTTTTAATACTTGATGATTTGGGGGAACTGTTTGCAAGGCCTGCTTTTCTAACCTAACTTTGGTCTCCTTTATGCCCTGGATCGAGTTGTGGATCACACAAAGTATTTGTTGAAATTAGTTAAATTTGAACTCCTGTTTGAAACTCTTTTTCTTTAAGACCGTTATTTTGGTTGAGGTGCCAAACACCTACAAACTGACTTAGCATGATTATCTCTTCTGTAATTTCTAGGCAGAAAATGCAGACAGTTTCTCAGATAATGACATATGGTCAGAAGTGAACACATTCATATTGGCAGGGCATGGCACCACAGCAGGGGGCATCTCCTGGCTCCTCTACTGCCTGGCTCTGAACCCTGAGCACCAGCAGAGATGCCGAGAAGAAATCAGGGGCATCCTGAGGGATGGGTCTTCCATCACCTGGTAAGATCTATATCTCTAAACATTTCAGTCCAGTCTTCTCCTGAGATTTTGCTTTCTTCTGGTACCTTGTGTATTAAGTTATAAGTTTGATCTAAGGGGGTCTGTGTGTGTTTTGGGAGATCTATCAGGTACAGCACGAGAAAGGGAAACTCACTCAGGAAAGCCAGCAAACCAATAAAATCTAATACTCACAGATCCAGGATGAAAACTGCCTCAATACAGAGCCACAGGCGGTTACACCCAAGGACAAAACAACAAGTTGGAATTATCTGACAGAGAGTTTATATAAAGCATTCAGGGTAAAGTCCTAGGGCTTAAAATTTAAACGCTTTAGTCAATTTTTTTAAATTTAATACATTAGTGCAGGAAATGGGAAATTTTTTAATTGTGAGCATTCACACAGGGCATGACCCGGAGGGATACTGAGAGACTCAGTTACACAATAGAAGCCTCTGTCACAAGAAATCATATGGGGCATGGTTGAGAGGGCTACTTAGAGACTGCAACTGTTAAAAGACTATGTGACAGTATAAGAATGACCATGTTAGTGAAAGAGCCACTAGGAGGAATTAATGGATACAGAGACAGCAGACTAAGTCACAAATTGTCATTATGACTTTTGGAAACCATAGTGCAAAAGATATGTATATGTGGAAGAAGAAATGCTTTGTTTCAAGAGGGACCAATATCCTTTTATAGTTTGTTAAAGAAGTTCACCCACCTATTGTTGTTGTTGTTATGTGCCATAGAGTCGGTTCCGACCCATAGCGACCCTGTATAGGGTTTCCGAGGGTGTAAATCTTTACAGGAGTAGAAAGCCTCATCTTTCTCCCGCGGAGCAGCTGGTAGTTTCGAACCGCTGACCTTAAGGTTCGCAGCCCGATTCGTAACAACTACGCTACCAGAACTCCTTAAGTTACCTATTTAATTGTTTTTCTAATCAGTGTGTAGATGTTCTATTTCATTCTTTCACAAATGATGACTTGCTATCAAAGGGGTCTGAAAGAAATACTAAGGGAAACCTAGTTCAAATACCAGGGGAAAAGCCACCATATTTCATCTGCAAAACTAAGTAAAATTAGAAATGTTTTTAAAGGAAACTTTAAATTTATAAAAAATTGTGATAGTAGAGGTCTCACTTTTTATAAGGAACTAATAGTCATTTCCCAGTGAAACTTACATATGTTTCTATGGAGAGAAGTTTATATCCAAGAAACGACCCATGTAGTTGTGTTGTTGTTGTTAAGTGCCGTTGAGTTAGTTCCAATGCATAGTGACCCTGCATAGAGTTTCTGGGGAACAGCTGGTGAGTTTGAACCACTGGCCTTTCAATTCAAACCAACTTTGTGGTCTTTTGCTTAGCCTATAGTGCTACATACAGTTATAGAGACAGGCAAGTTCCAAGTCCCTGGGCCAGTTGTCAGGCTTGAGGCTACTCCTGACTCACATAGCTGCAGAGGCTGATGAACCCAAGATGAGCATGTCAGATGGCAGGCTTCTGGCTGCAGAGGTGAATGAACCTAAGATGGGCAAGTAAGATGGCAGACTCCTGATAATTTCAGAATCAGCATACAATATGACAGATCATTGGCTCAAGTATAAACTACGCAGGTCAAATGATTAGCAAGATGCAGGATCTAGACCTAGCAAAAAGCTTTGTCCAAGTGTCCAATATATTAGAAGCAAACCAAATCACCAAGGAAACTTCCTTTTATTTGAATGGCTGTTCATAAAAGATCTCATTATAGGGGTGATTACATTATATGAAATTTCATCATGGGGGATTACAACATCTTAACTGCTAAATCACAGAGAATACTGACCTAATCAAGTTGACACAAAACCTAAATCATGACAGTGTACTCTTTGTCAACTTGGTTCTGGTACATAGCCCCTTAAACCATATATAATCTTTAAATAAAGAAAATTATAAATTAATACCTGTGCCTAACATAATACAACTAACACACACATAGCCAAAAATGCACTAACCATATTTAACTTAATTGTGGTCCACCAGTCAGAGTGCAGGATGATGTAGGTCAATTTATTAAAGGAGTCTAAGCTCAGGTCCACTACGCATCTGTCAGCTTGTCAGACAGTGGTGAATTTAGTGTTGCTGTGATGCTGGATAGTATGCCACCAGTATTTTCAATACCAGCAGGGAATCCATGCTGGACAGGGTTCAGTGGAGCTTCCAGACTAAGACAGACTAGGAAGAAGGTTGTTGTTGTTGTTGTCAGGTGCCATCGAGTCGGAACCGACTCATAGCAACCCCATGCACAACAGAATGAAACAATGTCCGATCCTTGGACAACCTCACTACCTCTGCCACACTCAATGCCATCATCAGTGAAAACAAGGCCAGGGGCAGACTGTGGAACAGACCATCAATTACTGATATGCGAATTCAAACTGAAGCTGAAGAAAATGAAAACGAGTCCATGAGAATCAAAATATGACCTTGAATTTATCCCACCTGAATTTAGAGATCATCTGAAGAACAGATTTGATACATTAAACACTAAAGACCGAGGACCAGAAGAGTTGTGGGATGACATCAAGAACATCATACATGAAGAGAGCAAAAAGT